GAGAAGATGAGTTACCCTACTGCTTGGTTTGTTTTCTATCAGAAGCTCAGTAAAGTCTATTTGTCAGATATGGCCCTTTACCATTTGAAAGCAAGGAGGAATTGAGCCTAAGAGCAGGAATAATGAGAGGTCAACCTTGAATTTATGGATTCATTCTTTAAGTTACTTATGCATCCACTCCACACAAGTGTACTGATGTAGTCTGATCCAAGCACTGTATGGGGACCAGGTGTATTTGAAGAGTATATGTTGAGTCCATTTATTCAATCAGCAAATGTTTGAGAAACTACTCATGGATTACCTAGAAAGGAACAAGATAGGTAAGGTCCCTGCTCTCACTGAGTATACTCAATGAGAATTTTTTGTATAGATATCTTAAGTCACTTTATTTATAAAAACAGAGGCCATTCTAGCCTGCAGATATAAACCTTTGAGGAAAACTTTCCTTGTTTGTCAGCATATTTAACACCCATTGATCATTCTTATTCTCGAAATATCTTGCTTCTCACTGCCAGTGCTGAGCATGAACCCAGGATTCTATTCCATTTACAAGATCTAATTACTTTGCCCTTGGGTGACCATTTACATAAGTAAGTTTTCTTAAATGATAATCAACAAATATGCAAACTTTCTCTATTAGGTGTAGAATTACAACAGGTTAGACAGGAATGGAATCACAATCTATTTTTTTAAAAAAGGAAATCTTACATGTGTTGTATATGTTTTGCCAGAAAGAAGTCTTTAAAAACTCCTAAGCAAATATACATTACAGAACATTAAAGCCCAGAAGTATGTTGAACTTTTTTCTTTCACATATACATAGTACAGATAACATACTGCCTCATTTTAGAAAGCCAATATGCTAGAGACAAAGAAATTCCTTATCAAGGACTGGTATTCACATACTCCTGGAAGAGGTAAATACATGCTGCTACTCAACTTTATTCCATTTTCAGAACTAAAATTAAAAAAAGAGAGCCACATTTTTGTGAATTTTTCCAGCTATTATCAGATCTCTTGGAACTACATACCAAACAAATACCATCAAAGCTTTATAAGTTATGCAGTCTAGGTAATAAAGGTGTTCTGTAAATAAAACTGTTAACCAGCTACAAACTTTTAAACATTTTTTTTCAAAAATTCCATTTAGGAACCTTTCACCTTGACATGTTTCATGAATTGAAATAGTACATAATACAACATCTTATGTGGTGGATTCTTAAGTTGGCTTTAGTCATTTGAGAAACAATTCAAGATTTAACCTAAAGCTCAATTTCACTGTCTTCAGGGCTCTTGGTATATTTTTGCCAGGGATAAAGCATTCCAGTCATTGTTCCTAATGGGCTGTCTGCTGCCAACTAATAACTGCTTAAGTTACCAAGTATCATCAGGGGAAATCTCTTTCAGAAACTCCTGGGAACTAAAAAGATGTACATACTCAAATATCGTGCATTTCTCAATCCATTTTCAGGAATATTTTAAGTATTTATTTGAGGTTAGACAAAATAGTACATGATAATTTTCCATTCTGCAGAATTCACAAATTACCATACTTCTAATTTCAGAGAAAACATCCATTTTGCCAGCAAATTTTATCTTAACTGCCAAACTTAATTCTTCCTTCTGATGAAGCATTTGTGGCATTGTTACTACAATTAGAAAAGTTTAAAAGATTAATTCTGATTATAAATATAAAAGATCTTAGATTGGCTCCATTTCTTTTATGTATATGAAAGTTAGAAATGAAAAGCATACAAAGTTTGTGCACCAAAATACCATCATTCATGACCATACATTATTCTCAAATTCCCCAAAGACTGTTGCCTCATTTTTTAATTTAAATGCTTCTTAAAATTTAGAACAGAATATCTAGTGGGGTAGGATTAACTTGGCATCCAAATCCATAAAATTATTTGTCTATTTTCTTGGGTTTTGGATTATATCAAATGTCAACCAATCTTTTGTGAGGTCTTCACTTTTATACAATACCAACTGAGCTCAGATGATAAATAAGAGAATAAAATAGCAACTATATTTTTTATAATTTAATTTACAAAATTATATAAATAATTGTATCACAGGTCCATAATATCTAGGCACTGTCCTAGGCATAAAAACACAATGGTGACTAGACAGATATGGCACTGCTCTCTAAGCTTTACAGCTTGTATTTTCTAAAAGAATTTATGCCCCATACTTGGAAAAGACAGAGAATAGATGCAAAAAGTTCAATTAACAGTGTCAAAATTTTATGATCTCAAATTCCTATGATTTCTTCAGTAATCTATATTTTTTCCTGCTGACAAAGATGCAATTATGTTCAAGTAGCTCTTTTACCTGTATAAATTATACATCACAAGATACACAAATGCATTGCTCAAATTCTTCCTTTGCATTCTATAAGGATTTTTATACTATATATTTGAGGAATGCCTTAGCTGTTATCAGATAAATGTTTTATCATCAATCACATTTACTATCAAAGGATGAATCACTTGTCATTTAAGGAAAGATACTTAATTTCAATATGTCCAAGTAAGATTATTTAAATCATTATGGAACCCAGTAAACAAGATGGGACTTAATCATGTCACTAAGTTTCACATGTAGTTTCACCTTTTGAGAAGGTGCAAAAACAAAGCAGAACAAAACAAAAATACCTCATCTATAGTAATACTGGACACTGAAAAAATAAATATACATTAATTCTATTTCAATACACCATGTGGCTTATGTACTGCTTAGTTTGAGACACCCATATTTTTATCTCTCTGACCACTGCTGTGACTTACAATTTTTCTTAAGGATAGAAAAGTACAAATTTGTAAAGGGAAGCACTCAATTATTAGAGCAACTTACACATATCCTCACTATTACCACTTTCATCAAAACACATTCATAATAAAGCATCACCATTGGGAACACCATTCCATTTTCTCAGAAAAACTTGAAATACTGTTAAACTCATTTTTTATTGTTCTTTCTTTCCATTTTTTTTCATAATTTTGCATAGAAAATGTCATATTAAAAACTGTATACAGCACCCAGGTGGCTCAGATGGTTAAGCGTCTGCCTTCGGCTCAGGTCATGATCCCAGGGTCCTGGGACTGAGCCCCACATCTGGCTCCTGGCTTGGCAGGGAGCCTGCTTCTCCCTTTCCCTCTGCCTCTCCCCCTGCTCATGCTCTCTCTCTCTCTGTATCTCTCTCTCTTAAATGAATAAATAAAATCTTAAAAAAAAAACAAAACAAAACTGTATACTCACCTCCCTGAATGAAAGCTAGTTTTATGGGTAGATGATACAGGGGCAGAATTGAGATAATGTAAGTGGGTATGTACTTCTCTGAGGGAAACTCACAGGGGTGCACACAAAGTTATACTGAACTGTTATTTGGCATACCAATGACAGAATTTTAGAATTAATAATAATCAAAATCGAAACAAAAACACACATACATGAAACAACCCTGAACTACGAGGGTATATTTAGAAGGCTCAGAATGCCAGAAACCTAATTTGTTTTATAAGACCACGAACTTTCCCCGAGTAATTTTTATATATTTCAATGGCATTTAAACAAACATACTTCAAAAATAATGCTACTTCATAATCGTTTAAAAAGTAGTAAAGCTTTTCTATTGGCAAGGGAAGCCTTTTGGGATTATTTTTTAATGCACGGATACCACTAAAATACAAACCTATTTTTAATAACAATCACTAACATATTTTTTAAAGAATATCCAGACATATTTATTTTAACATATAGTTTCACTAATTACCAGAAATGTCATATTTGTGATACATTACCAAATTATAGCAAATAAAACTGGTTTAGAAAGTTTCGTAGTACTGGATATTGTTGTTTTTGTTTCTTAGGCAAACTTAATCAACTAAATCATGAATACATTTGGAATGAATTAAAAACATAATTTTTCAAGTAGACATTTATGCCCAAAATGTGGAGATTTACCTTAAAATTGTATCACCATAAATTATCATGCAGACACTTTAAAATAATTGTGTCATTTCCTACCATGTAATTGTATGCTTTTAAATTTACCCTGAGTAAATTATGACAAGTACTAACAAGCACGATGGAGAAAAGAGTTACGGAAAAGCCCTTATTCCAAAATAAAATATTAATAGAGTAAAGCCCATATCTAAAATTATCCACACATTGTTTTAGCATATAAATGTAACATTTGGGGTGTTAATAAAATATTTAATAGGATTGAAACACACATACTGGCTGAAGAAAAATCTCTGTGTGTGTGCGTGACAGAGAGAGAGACAGAGAGAGGGAGAGAGAGAGAGAAAGAGAAAAACATTTATTTACACATTTACACTATGGGCACTGCAGGCTTGAAATAGCAAAACAAATCAAAATTGCAGTAATATGGATTAAGGAGGACAGCTGCTTGAATCCTCCTTTTGTGCCTAAAACCACCTAAAGCTCTCAAAGATATTTGAAACAATCAGTTCACAAAAGTTTCTCTACAGAGTATTTTCACTTTGGGAACTTTCCAGGTTTCAGGAATGCCCCACTCTAAGGGGGAGCCAAAGCATTGTTTCCGGATTGTATCAGCAGCTGTGTTTTTTGTTCTAATTAGTGGCTAATAAATTCTAGTTATATCTTCATCAAAAATTTAACCCTTCCTATAATATGCCAAAATTCTGTGTCAACCAAAATGAAACTTGCCTTCCCACTACTTTCAAATATGCAAAGCAACACAAAGAGAGATTTTGGTGATGGTAGCTGTGGAACCGGGACTGGCCAAAGGGGGAAACAAAAAAAATCAAAAGAATATACATTTTTTTTTCTTTTCAATGATCCTCCAGGTGGAATAATATCCTCGCCAGCTTAATATAAATACAAAACTTCATTCCCTAGGGCTTTTCCCCCTAAGAGCAATTTTCATCAGAATCTAATTGCAGCAAAACACCTACTTTCACACAGAAGCCCCCCCACCCCCACCCCAGGACACACACGCTGGACTTTACCTGTTTTTATGCCGAGTCTTTAGCAAGTTTCTTCCAAAGGGAGCCATGGTCCGCCAGGCAAGCGAAGAGAAGGGGCCGTATCTCAAAGTTATCTGGGGATGGGGGTGGGGGTGGGGTATCTGCCGTATCTCAAAGTTATCTGGGGATGGGGGTGGGGAGGTATCTGGATTTCTAGGTGAAGGGAGGAGTATTGAAAGTTTCCTCTTCACCTCCTCAAACGTTCCTGGCTTTCAGCTCATTAGCAGCCGGCGAAGAGAGTTGCTAGAAGTTGTGCAACTGCTGCCTAACTTTGAACTGCTGGATTGTTGTGGCTGCTGCACCTTTGGAGACCTGCCCAGCTTCAGCCTCGAAGAAGGCGTTTGAAAGCAGGAAAAGAAAAAAAAGAGAGCGAGAGAGAGAGAGGAAGGGAGGGGGACTCTATTGTGTTCGGTAGTTATTTGCAAACTTGCTAAACTTTAAGAACTGCCAACCGCACGGGCATGGTAATACCCATGGAATGGGAATTTCACTCCATTTGGAAACCTCCCCTCCCCCGCTTTCCACGCCCAATCACACAAGGTGAAATAAACATATAAAAGGATTAAAAGTAAATACCCCTACCTCGCAACCAGCTCCAGTCTGTGAAAAGTAATCTGATCGTGGCAAGCAAGAGTGAGGGCCAAGAACTTTTTGTCTACCGATCCGGCACAAAAATCCCCTCCCGTTGGGCGGGGGCGGGGGGGGGGCGGGTGTCAGGGCTGTAAAATACGTTGAGGAGGAGCGAAGCCGGAGACTGAATCAAGGTGGACTCAGAGGTCACTTGGAAATTGGAGCCTAAAAGTATCCCCCAGTCCACTCCTCCACACTTTTCAAATTCATTTTCCAAAAGTCGAAGGAGCTGAAGGACCAAAGTGCTCCGAGGCTGACTGACGACAGCATCGGCAGTAAGAATCAGCCGGGATTTGGGGTCCGACTCCCGAGGCGTTAACACAGACCCCTGCGCGGTCTTTGGCATTTACTGAGCCTTTGGGGCAGGCGAGTTTGAAGGAAGAGCCAACTGTTCGCTCCCGCCTCTCAACTCGTGAAGTCAGAGAGGAAGCGCCTGGAGGACTTCATGGAACTCGAAGTGTGCAGTGAAGGTCGAAGGGTGAGAGCGGGCATCACGCGATCTCGAACCCACGACCCGCGCAGCCGGGGCAGAAGGGGGCGAGCGGACGTCAGTGCTGGCGGCCAGGCACAGTCCCCACCCAGCTCTCCTGCGCCCACCACGCCGTGGGAAAGCGCCATCCAGGGGCCAGGGGCCAGGGCCCAGGGAGTTTTCCCAGGTCGTTTTTTCTAGGATTTCGGCCCCCAGACCAACTCCCTCCCTGCCTGTCTTTACCCCAGCCTCTTCACCTTCCCCCCCTTTCCCACCCTGCTGGGCAACGCCAAGCTTCCAATCTTTGGCTTCCGCGGCTAGGGGAGGGAGCGAGGGAAAGGAAATCAAAGCACTATGGGTTCACACTGACTCACACTTGAAGCTAGTGGATCTCTGGATCTTGGCAGAGAACATGAATGGCACACACTTTCTTTATGAGTCCCCCTCACCCCCAACAACAGCAAACAAAAAAGTGATCTTAACGGTTTCTATAATTCTTACATGCATCAATTTAGTCAAGATTCTACAGAGCTCAAAAAAATCATTTTTTTCCGGTATTTACTATCATAATTCCTCTCCTGTTCTCCATATTATATATATGTGTATTTCTATATGTAAATACACATATATATGTTTTATGTGACTGTATTTTATTTTAAACCTGTTATGTATTGTTTATAATTGTTCATAAATATTATATATAAATCCCAATTTGTTATGAATTAGAAAATGCCTTAATTCAATGACCTTTTTTTCAATTACTGGAAGAATGGATAATTTTAAGAAAATATACCCATCTTTTCAATGGATCTATAGCAGTGTGACTAGAGAAAACCTTTAAAATACGAAAAGCAGTGATGATATGTTTTGGTTTATACATATATATTACATACATATATACACACACACATATTTAACATAAATAATGTTGGGTATACTTCAGTTTCGGTTTTTATTTTATGTTACAAGCATGTCACAAAAACAATGATTTAAACTATTATGGAAGATTGCCCAGTTATTCTAAATTGTTCAAAATATAATCCCCTAAAGCTATACTGTTTACTTATTAATATAATGACTGCAGTCAATTCACAAAGAATTTTGCATTTACAAATATCCCTATGTTTCCTCTAGTTTCGGTTCTCCACCCTTATTAACATTACTTGTACATATAGTTTTCACATAAAAACATTTTTCATTAGGAGAGTTTCAATGGAACAAGAGGAAACAACATTACATCTTTATTAGCATAATCTTACGTTGAGTTTCAAGTTAGTACAGATGAATCTCATTTAGGATGTTATTATTCCTCACATAAAATATGCTATTAATACTATTTATGACAAGCTCTTTGATGTGTAAGAATAAAACACAAAGGGTTAATGTCCCTTAGATATTAAAAGCTGAAAGGAATAGAACACCTGGGCACTAATAGCTAAATAGAAAAATAAGCAAATAACAATTTTATATTTTAATTTTTTTAAAGACTTTATTTATTTTGAGAGAGAGTGAGAGAGAGAGCACATGAGGGGAGAAGGGTCAGAGGGAGAAGCGGACTCCCTGCTGAGCAGAGAGCCCAATGCGGGACTCGATCCTGGGACTCCAGGATCATGACCTGAGCAGAAGGCAGTCGCTTAAACAACTGAGCCACCCAGGCGCCCCGCAAATAACAATTTTAAAAGAAAATAATAAAACCGTGTTTTAAAATATCAACTTTATAAGTAACCAGATGTATATAGGTAAATTGAAATGAGGTTTAATTTTGCATCTACCAAATTGCATGATTTTGAGAATGAGGATGCCCAATTCTGTCAGTATGATGGTCAGATTAGACTTCTCTACATGAGTAGTACAGATAGCCATATCCCTTGTAGAAATGAATTTGGCTCTATATTTCAATAACCTTCAAAATATTCAAACTCCTTTATCTAAGTTTATTCTCATAAGAACGTTTTCCAAGGAAATAATCAGAGTTTCCTAAAAAGCCTTATGCTTTTCAGATTGTTTATTGATATTCATGAGAACTAAATGAAATATTGCATACAAAGTGTTGACACATAGTATTAGACAAAGTACTATTTTTTGTACAAGGTAAAGAATAATATAAAAAATTATCTCAACTTGAAGGTAAGGTAAACTAATGAATGCATGTCCTCTCAATGATACAGTGGAGCATTGTGTAACAGTTCCTCCCAAAGATTATCCAGTTCTCTGGAATAATGCATTTTTTTAACGTACTATTTACTATTGATTGGGCCCAAATTCTATGAAATTAGATGTTAAATTATTTTTTTTAAAAATGTAAATTGCAAATGATTTTTGTTCAGAAAGCAAGACAAATGATTTTGTCTGGTAGAAAGATACCACAAAAGGTTATGGTTTTATTGCCATGTACGATATCAACCAATTTGATACTCAACCTATTTTTTTTAAATCTTTTATTAATTTATTTGAGAGAGAGAGAGAGAGTGCACAGAGGGAGAGGGAGAAGCAGACTCCCCGATGAACAGAGAGCTCCATGTGGGGCTCGATCCCAGGACTCCGAGATCATGACCTGAGCCGGAGGCAGACGCTTAACCCACTGAGCCAGCCAGGTGCCCTTCAACCTATTTTTATTTCAGCCTTCTTTCTTTAATTCACTAACTATATATAGCAGTATTTCCTATCCACCTTTGGACCAGCTTTGCAATTCTACTAGACCCCTCATTAAGAAGTTAAATCTTTGACATTTGCCCACTATATATTTCTATGAGATTCATACATTTCAGTTTTTTTGAAAATTATACTTTTAATAAGTCTGAGCTTGCATCAGTTTTTTTCTGAACCAGTAGGAAGTCTTCATAGAAGAAAGATGGTTACTTATCTTAAAAGATTTAATGTGTAAAAATGAGTTTTGATGGTAGAGAATAGTTAGAATGTCCTTTCATTCATCTATGAATATGAAGCTCGGCCAAAATAAATAGATGTCTATTTCCTTACACATATAGATTAACATATGAAAAATCAACATGGAAGATGGTGCATTATACTTAATAAAAGAATGAATGAATATTATTCAATCAAAGGAGGATTATGTAATCTGTGGTTGAGTTGATATCAATAGCTAAGCAGTGTTAGAGCATGTATGTTGAGGAAAAACCCTGTTTTGAAAGAGAAAATTAAGAAACAAATAAACAGAAAATGAGTGTATCAATTCTCATTCTAGTTTATTCATAGACCCAGGCTCTCTTTGTATTAAGGATTTTTTAATTGAAATTTTCCCCAGTTGTATTGAGATATAATTGGCATGCATCACTCTAAGTTTAAGGTTCATAGCATAAAGGTTTCACTTACAGATATTGTAAAATAATTACCATAACTTTAGTTGCCAACCGTCATCTCATATAGACACAACGAAAAGAGAAAACAAAAAAACAATGAATAATTTTCGTCATAATGAGAACTTGTAGCAGTTGCTCCCCCACCAACTCTTATGTATTTCATACAGCAGCATAAACTGTAGTCATCATGCTGCTTCCCCACCAACTCTTATGTATTTCATACAGCGGCATGAACTGTAGTCATCATGCTCTACTTTCTATCCCCAGTCCTTATTTATCTTGTCACTGGAAATTTGTACCTCTTGACCACCTTTTTACAACCCCCCCCGTTTGTCTCCACTGCCCCCACTTCACTTCTCATATCCATATTCAAGGCTTTTTGTAATTATATGAACTTTTCTGTCTTTTAGCTTTAACCCATATGACTTCATTAAAAGGGTAGTAGATATGAGTTTTGAAGCTATGTAGACAGGGATCCATGTCATAGCTCTGTCATTTTCTGGTAAAGATCTTGGATAAATGACTTAACCTAAGTTTCAGTTTTCTGATCTCCAAAATGAAAAAAAAAATGATAATAATAATTCTTAACAAATTCTCATTTTCCATTAGA